GCCTTATTTAGAATCAGTCCAGGAGAAAACCATATCTTCATGCCCAATTGCTTATCAGATGGTGTCTCCGGTACAAGGAGCTTTTATGAAGTTTCTAGTACAGATGAGTAAAGCTACAAGAGTGCTGGAGATTGGAGCTCTCACTGGTTATTCGGCGTTGTGCATGGCCGAAGGTCTAAAAGAACGAGGATCAGAGGCAAAAATAGTTACGCTAGAAAAGGACGTAGAGAATTTTAAGATGGCAAAAGAGAACATAGAATCTTCAGAACTTGGACACCTGATTGAGCTGAAACTTGGCGACGCAGTTGATACGTGAGTGATTCTATCTTCATCATTATAAATAAAATTAATAAGCGAATATTCTTAAAAAAATCTTTAGACTTTCAAATTTGGATAATTCGGTACAATATGACCTGATATTTCTTGGTATGAAATTTTTTTTTTATTTTAAATAAGATAAATACGTTTGTTAATATTAGTTAATATTAACAATTTATCTAATTTTCTTTTCGGAAATTAGATGCTGATAAGATAAATTATATCAATTATTATAATATTATTCTCGAACGAAATCTTCTTTCTGATGATGGATTTATCGCTGTTGATAATGGTTTGATTGATTTTTCATTTATCGTTAAATGGGAGCTGAATTGAAATTAAGTTTAGATATGGATGAAGTTTCATATTTGTGCTATGATCCGAACGAATTCGTGTCTAATCTGCTAAATTTTGGTTGCGCATATGCCTATCTCCAGTATTTAACGACTACTGTTGACAAACGCATATGAGGTTTTCCACATTAATTATGCATACAGTTTGGTTGGTACTCTACGTGAAATGTTACTTTATGCCCCATTAAAAATACTGAATTCGTTCGGATCTTTTTTTAAAGGAAAAATAGTCAGGACATAGGTTTATTACCAAGTTCTAAATTTAATTAAGAAATTTCAAGCCCATTTAAATATAAAACTGACATTTTCTAATTATAAAAAAAAAAATTATTAATTTTATTTTTAACAGCATTATCTGAAGGTCTTGTAATACAAGTGGCCAAAGGAGAAGACCTCAGTCAAATTCCTGACTGGGCTAAATACATGCATGCATTTAACGAATACGCCGCCAATGATCAACGAACTACACAAATACTTTTAGCGTGCTTTGATGGAGTTTTGTTAATTCAAAAAAAAAAACCTTAATATAATCATCAAAATCAGTTATATATGATCCACAAAAGCTGTTTACAAATTTTATATTAATAATATACAGTCAAACCTCAGTTATATATCCCCTATTTCAGTATTTAGAAGAATAAATATCTCAGATTTACCTTATTTATATCTAAATTCTTTGGACAAAAGAATGATATAACTGAGGTTTGACTGTAGATTAAAGGTTACAAATATTAACTCTGATAAAAAGTTTAATGTTAAATGTAAAATTGTTGTATCCGAAGTCAGTGTTGTACATTTTTTGACTGTCCCAAACTTTTTGACCTTTTCCAATTTTTAACTTACAAAAACTACGAATAGAATATATCAAACGTGTAAAATTAAATTTCGAACGTATATTTGAGGTTATACAGGGCCGGGAAATCTCTATTATTAGGTACCCAATATTCTAACATTATTATAAGTTGGAAAATGTGTTCGACTTATCATAGACTCGAATTTTTGTAATTCATATCCGCAAAAAAAAAAAAAAAAGTCGTCGCTCCGAACAGATTCGCTCATATATATAGAATGTAAAAAGCTACACTATTAGTTGGTTTATTATTAAACCAAGAAGGTTCGAAATATCAATAATAGAAAATCAACGAACGCAAAATACGAGTAAGGTCAGCAAAATTCCGAAATAATCTGAACGGTCCTAGCATAAAATAATTCGCATTATATTAATTTCTTAATTCGCAAGAAATATAGATGAATTTTTCATGGCGGTGACCTATAATAAAGATTTCCCAATCCTGGCTATACAAACTGAAGCCTTTTTCTTCTCATAACCTGGCGGATCAAATTTTACATGACTTTTAAAAAATTTTTGATTATACAGTATTTACTACATCATGAACTTTTTTTTATAAAATTATTACATAATCTTACATGACTTTACATAATATCTTGCAAATATTTATGCATTTAACGGACCTATGGACCTTCAGTAATACTACACAAAAATTTGCATAAATTTATATAAATTGTTAAGTGACTTTACGCTTACTTAAATTTATATCAAACAATAACATAATACTATTGTCACCCTATGTAATGTTACGTAAATATATGGACCTTCGAAGTTCGTGATGTATCTGGTGAGTTTATTTAAAATTTGTAATATATATATATATATCTTGTGTGTGCTATCAAGGGAAAATAGGACATTAGCTAATCATTGATGATTTATTTAAATAATCAATGATAAACCAATGTGATCTTGTTCATTTTTAAATTTTGAAATATGAGAACTAAAAAATTAATTTTGGATGGCTTTAGGGCATCGAGATTTGTGTTATATTATAATCGTCTATACAAATTCTATACTACTTTGCTCGCTTTTAATCCTTTTTATGCATGTCCTAGTTTGTTATTATACACTGGTGATCATAAATAATGCAGCAAAAAAAAATTTTGATTAAATCGCATTATTTCATGCAATTCTAGATGTATTCTTTTTATTTTTATTTTATTTTATTCATAAATAGTATAGTGTTCACATACAAAAACCTTATAAAGTTTTAATGATACAAATTTTTCACGAGCATGAGCTTTATTTAAAATTACGTGTTGCATTATTTTTGCTCGTTTTAAACACAACACGAATATAAAACAAAAAAATTTTTTTTTTACATATAAAAATTTTTTTTTCCTACTTTAATATTTCATGGCTGCCGTGACATGGAGTATCCACCTTGTTGCCCTGATTGTTTCATGAACTTTTCTGTTATTGGGATTGGTTAGACAATACGGGTCCTCATTTTGATTTTCATCTAGGCCATCTGGGTCTTGCTCTAAAGATCTTTTTCATTTGAAATTTGCCAAAAATGTTTCTTAGACAATTATAAAACTTTAACCTACAAATATTTTAAAAGTTTGAGTTTAGAAAACAGAGATGTTAGTTAAAATCTTTGTCTAATTATTTCTTAGCTAAAATTCTATAAATGTCACATTATATTTTCTATCATCATCTTTCTATGAAATTATTTTTTTAAATAGCAAATTTGTATCTCTGATGATATGTATAAAATATCAATAAAAAATATGTTAGTATAATTCAATATTCATCACATCATTAATCATGCAAAGGCTATTAATATTACAAACATAATATACAGTCAGACCTCTCTAAATGCACATCATCGGGACCAGCTCTAGCACGTGCATTTAGAGAGGTATTGCATTTAAGGAGTAAAAATCTAAAGATATAATATTAGTTGGGCCCAAAAGAAGACGTGCATTTAGGGAGGTGCTGCATTTAGGGAGGGTACATTTAGGGAGGTCTGACTGTATTATTATATTCTTACAAATCTATCTCAAATTTTTGATGTCAGAATCAAATTAATAATTTTTCAAGTTGTTTATATAGTATTGTTTAATATTTAACTTAAAAACTTCAAACTTTAGCTTGTCAGACCAAATTACCTTAGTCCTGTACTTATAGACCAATTTTTACAAATTTAAGCCAATGTTTTTGTCAATATTTACATAAGTAGAGCTTTTTTATTTAACCTCTAGTATTAAATCAAAGTTCTTATTTGTAAAAAATAAGAATACTCAAATTATCAAATACTTTTTGTTTTTTTTTGATAAGACTGTATTTCAACAGCAATTAAATCATAATAGAAGGTAGTTAAATTTAAAATCTCAACTTAGGTTAGCTCACCACTATTAGGTAACCAACAAATCTCCACTAAATTTTTTATAAATACAATATCTTAACTACTTTTATTGATGTAAAAAGCTAAGAAGGAACTAATATTATATGCCCAGCTTACCACCCTTATGGTATACTGCTTTTGTAGCAACAAAGAAACTTGGGCTCTTTTAAATTATAAATTGTATACTTTTTTTTTTTTTGCTAGAATGTCATCTGAAGTTCTATCACAACACAATGATACAAAAATGATAATAAATTTATCATTTTATGTATTTCTTAGTTGTACAATAATTATTATCTGATCATTGTAAAAAACAATTAAAAATAATGTAGCACATGATTTGCAATACATGCCTGCTATTTTCTATAGGGGGATTCCCAAATTTCTAGATCATAATGGCCAGAATGTGTTATGGTTAGAGTCAGGGTTAGGGCTAGGTTAAGGTTAGTGGGAGCTATAGGCTATAGTAAAATTATTAGCTGGGCACTTTTCACTTAATGAATAACTATTGTTTCATTAGTAAAATTTTTAGTGATCTTAGAGCAAAATTGATCAACTCTGGCCTTTCCAACCGTAGTTCTGAAGCTTCTGACCCAGAATTTTGGAGATTTCTATATAGGAGTTATGCTTGCTTATCTTTATGTTAATAATAATAATAATTATTAAAATTTTTGATATTAGAAAAAGGTACCATTTACAAGTAAAATAAAAAAGAATAAAATTCTATGTTTAAAATTGTGTGAAATAATGTAACTTAATAAAAAAATTTTTTTTGCTACATTATTTATGATCACTAGTGTATACAGATATATTTAAAGCTAATGATAATTATATAAATATAACCAGTTTTAAACAACAATAATAATAATAATATCTGAATCACAATTATCTTGTCAATCTACAGTAAACAAAACACTTCAAATTTAAAGAGTCATAAATATTTACTATTTCATTTAAATTATTTGCACTGATTTTGTCTGTATGTATAACAAAATTTGTCCCTGCTAAAATTGAAATTTGAACTATTTTGATATAAATTTTAAAATTTTTGAGCGTGTTTTTAACTATTTTTTTTTTATAGTTAGGTTAGTGATCTAAAATCAAAATTGATAATTAAAGAGTATATATGGATTTTAACAGAGTTTATATTTTAAAATTTTATGCTGAATGTATAAAAAGTCTGCTTTTAATTTGGTGACACACATTCTATTAGATTTTGAAATGACCAAATAATAATTTTAAATATTAAAGAAATAAAATGTGTTATAGCAGTATATAAATTTAACAAGATATACATTAGACTAAAATTTTTTAAAAAAATTTTTTATTAGAACTTGAAAAATGAGTTTGTAGCAAATTTTAGAAAACTGCAATTTTTGAAAAATTTTGTTATTTTTTTGCAATTTTATATTAAATTTAATTGTGTGATTGATTTGTAAACAAGAAGTGGCTTTGTTTAATCAGAGATAGTATTTACAAATGACTAGTCTGAATTGAGGTGAAATTAGAGATTATAGATAATTTAATTGTTAAATAATTTTGTTTATAAATTAATTGGTTGTAAAATAAGTTACTGTTAGGGCTATTAATTAGTTGTCTAGTCTGTTTTGGTTTAAAGATAATGGTCTTTTAAAAAGTTGGACCAAACTGTGGTTTGGAGCTAATTAAAACCAATCAGTAAGTGACTAGACAGACCAATTATTAGACTAATTAAGCTGCATCAACATATTTTATTACTAGACTAATGCACAGCATTTTACATATATTCAGAGTCTATAATTATCGAATATAAACATATATCAAAAATGTAATTTTAGTCACAAAGTTATACTTAATTTTTATTACTATTATATATTAATATCATAATTTTTGATCAAAAACATAACTATTAATACACACTTTACTCATCTATTAGGTATTTTCTGCTATGCTCTAGACAATTGCCTGTTATTATTTAAATTATTAGCTTATTACTTGTTTATTAAATAAAAGCTATCTTTAACCAAATATTTAAATCTGTCATAATTTTTGTAGGTATATTTTTAATGAACTTGTACTGTAAATATATCTAGATAATAATTCTAATTATATATATTAAATTTATATATCTAACTCTTGTTAAAAAAACTATTTATTATGATAAATTAGAAAAAACTTATTTGAAATTTTAAATTTTTATCTAAAAATTCCTAATTAAGTAATATATAATAGTAAAGAGTAGCTTTTTTTAAATAACTTACAAACATATTAATATCAGATCAAATATTGCAATATTGCAGAATCAGATTATAACAATAATTTAATAACTGATATTAGAACTGATGG